CTGCTGAGCCTGGGGGTGTTGAGTCTGGAGCTGCTGAGCCTGGGGGTGCTGAGTCTGGAGCTGCTGAGCCTGGGGGTGCTACGTCTGGAGTCGCTGAGCCTGGGGTTTCTCCTGGTGCTGCGTCTCGGCGGGAGCCCCTCTCTCCACAGGAGCTGCGCGAGTGGTTTGCTCGCCGCTGGAGGCGTACTGCTGGAGCTGGAGCTTCTTCGACCGTCGAGGGTGCTGGTGCTGCCGGTCCCGGAGGTGCTACGCCTGCGGGTCCTACTGGAGCTGGGGCTGCTGAGGGCGTTGGTGCTGAGTCTGCTGCTGTCTGTCCTGACGGTGGTTCTACTACTGGTGCTGCTGGAGGTACTGCCGCTGGAGGTGTTGGTGGCGCTGGTGCTGCCGCTGAGGGTGTTGGTGCTGTCCCTGCTGAGTCTGGAGCTGCCGCGCGGCCTCGGCCGTACTTCGTTCCGCTTCTGCAGCAGGTTCTTGGTCTTTCTCCTCCGGTAGAGTGTCCACAGCCTGTCCAGTCGCAGTCACTGTTGGAGCCTACCTCCCCACTGCCTGCTCCCTCTCCTTACACTGGTCCTACTGGAGGTCTTGCTGAGCGTCGTGAGCCTGCGTCTCGTCCCGCGTCGCCTGTTCGTGCTGCCCGCGCTAGTGGTCGTGGTTCGCGTCCGCGTCCTCCTCCTGTCCCTGGCACGCACCGGATGTCTCTGCGTCCGTCCACTGCTCCTCTGCGTGCCCTTTTGCCTTCTCCTCCTGAGTCCTCCCTTCCTGTGCTTACCGACCCAGAGTCGGACTCCCTTCGTGCTGCCAGTCCTACTGTCACGCGTCTGCTTGCTACTGTCGTCACTGACCCCTCTTTTGAGTCCGCTGCTGCGTCTGCTCTTGTCGCTGAGCTCGTCGACTTTGCTGCTCGCTGTCGTCTAGACTACGCTGCTAGTCTTGTTGCTGAGTCTGCGTCTGTCTGTCCTCCGTCCGTCGGGGGTGAGTGTGCTCTTGGCACGGACGTCCTAGAGGACAGGCAGGAGGAGTTCCAGTGTCTGGCTGCTGCTTCACCTCATCTCGCGTCTATACTGCTTGCTCCTGAGGGAGACCCGGATGCACTAGACATCCCGACTCCGCGCTCTTACGCGGAGGCCGTAGAGGGTCCCTACTCCTCTCAGTGGCAGGCAGCTATGGATGCAGAGATGGCTTCCTGGAAGTCCACAGGCACCTACGTTGACGCGGTTCCCCCTCCTGGGGCGAACATCGTCAGTGGCATGTGGATCTTCAGGGTGAAGCGGCCGCCGGGCTCTCCACCTGTCTTCAAGGCGCGGTACGTCGCTCGTGGCTTCAGTCAGCGGCAGGGAGTTGACTACTTTCAGACCTTCTCTCCCACCCCAAATATGACCACTCTTCGGGTGCTGCTGCACATAGCCGCTCAGCGCGACTACGAGCTTCACTCTCTCGACTTCAGTACTGCGTTCTTGCAGGGGAGCCTGCACGAGGAGATCTGGCTGCGCCGTCCACCTGGCTTCACTGGGACTTTCCCTCCTGGCACCCAGTGGAGCCTCCGACGGCCAGTCTACGGTCTCCGCCAGGCACCACGTGAGTGGCACGACACACTGAGGACTACGCTTGCGGCCCTTGGGTTTGCTCCTTCTACTGCTGACCCGTCGCTGTTTCTGCGCACCGACACTTCACTGCTGCCGTTCTACATCCTCGTGTACGTCGACGACTTGGTCTTTGCCACAGCGGACACTGCTGGACTCGCCTACGTGAAGTCCGAGCTGCTGAAGAGACACACGTGCACAGACCTGGGTGAACTGCGCAACTACCTTGGCTTGCAGATCACTCGGGACAGAGCACGCCGCACCATTACCTTGACTCAGTCACACATGGTGCAGCAGGTCCTTCAGCGCTTCGGCTTCACGTACTCCTCGCCTCAGGCCACTCCTCTGTCTACTCATCACTCGCTCTCAGCTCTGCCTTCTGATGAGTCCGTAGAGTCGAGTGGCCCGTACCCAGAGCTTGTTGGCTGCCTCATGTACCTGATGACCTGCACACGACCTGACCTTGCATACCCTCTTAGCATTCTTGCATGCTATGTTGCTCCTGGGAGACACCGACCAGAGCACATGGCTGCAGCGAAGAGGGTATTGCGCTACCTGTGCAGTACGTCGGGCATGGGGCTAGTGCTTGGAGGGCGGAGTCCAGTGGTACTTACAGGTCACGCGGACGCTTCTTGGGCTGACGACCAGGCTACGCAGCGGTCGTCACAGGGTTACACCTTCAGCCTTGGCTCCGGCTCTGTCTCGTGGCGGGCTACTCGCTCGTCTTCGGTTCTCAGCTTGAGTTGTGAGGCTGAGATCTACGCAGGGGCCATGGCTGCACAGGAGCTTCACTGGCTCACCTACCTGCTAACTGACCTTGGAGAGCCGCCTCGTTCTCCTCCAGTGCTGTACGTAGACAACAAGGCCATGCTGGCCTTGTGTCGAGAGCAGCGATTGGAGCACATGACAAAGCACATAACTCTCCGCTACTTCCTTGCTCGTGAGCTACAGCAGCGTGGACAGTTGCGGCTTGCGTACGTGGCCTCTGAGGCCAACACTGCTGATGTGTTCACCAAGGCACTCGCGCCTTGTGACCATCAACGCTTCTGCACCCAGCTGGGTCTTGTGCCTGTCTTGCCTCACTTGCTCTCCTCTTGACTTTACTTGTACTGTCACATATATATACCTGCTCTTGCTTGTCTAGCTTTATATATATATATGTGTGTACTCTTGCATGTGAACTGGCCTTGTGGCCTTGCTCTTGTGCTCGGACTGTGTGGTGACTTTGTGATCCACCCTGAGCTTTGCTTTGCTTTGCTTGACTGGTCTTGTGACCCCTTGTTCTCCCCCACTTTGCCTATGGGGGTGTGTCAGAACATATATGTAGCTTATGCTGTTGTGTAGGCTACAGTGGGGTATCCCATAGGGGGTACAACCCAATTAGGGTTTTGCTATTTGTACTCACTTCACTCATAGTTCATTCATTCTCGTTCTATTTTCCACATGGTGGGAGTTGGAGCCAAAGGGGTTGAACTTGTGTGGCTGAACACCAGTGCGTGGGGGTGGATTGTTTTTTTTTTTTTTTTTTTGGGTTGCGTACCAACCCTATACATTTGGTAGCACTTTTTGGTCGACTCGAATGAACAGTGCAGTTTTTGTCATTTTCCCAACGTTTAAAACCCTCATTTTTACGTTTTCAAAACGAGTGCTCCAAAGTTGTGGACATGACGAAAGCACTGATACAAGAGTCCCCCAAAAACAGGCCCTCAGATTAGTTTTTGGCCTGTCTGATTCGTCATACTAGTACACAATTTTAGTCTGAAAATCTCAGAGTTGGTATAAAAAAAAGGCTGAAATTTCAGAGTGTCCTAAAAAAAAAGTCTGATCATTCAAAAACAATGTATTCAATGTTTCATCGGAATGTAATCAATGTTTCATTCATCTGCTACCGAAACACACAACACTAAGGGGATTTCCGATAAAACATGCTCTGACAGGGCGAATATATGTGTCAGGGCGAATATTGTGGTGCGAAAGAGCGAATCTGCAATGTCAGGGCGAGTTTTCTGTGATTGGTCGAAAATTGTTGTGCTCTGACAGCGCAAATCTGTTGTGTCAGGGCGATTTTGCTATGATTGGGCGAAAATCATGTGCTGTAAGGCTCGGATTTGCTGTGTCAAGGCGATTTTGCGTTGACATTGCGAATCTGTTGTGACCCGTAAGTCCGAATCACCAGTCAAGGACGCGTCTGTACTCTAAATGATCAGAGTACACTCTCAGAAAACTCTGAACTCTCAGAGCTAGCCTTTAAAAAAGTCTGAAAATTACAGAGTTTGGGCCCAAAAAAGTCTGATTTTAACAGAGTACACTGGGGAAAAAAAATCTGAAATATTAGAGTTTTTTGTGCAAATCAGAGAAAAAAGTCTGACTTCGTAGGGCCTGCCCAAAAATGAAACCAAATGTAACCTTTCATTCCATAATCGTTGATAAATACGGCGAATGGAACAATCGGTTGTCACGAAACACAATTGACGAGAAACATCCACTGGACGTGAACGCAAATCATGTGCAGCGCATCCATTGATCACGCGCAAAAACAACACATAACAACTAAGAGTGAATGCTAAAATGCATGGATGCTACAACAGAGATGGTTCCGGTATGCTAAGGCGAGCAACGCTGCCCCAACAACGATCCCCACCACAAATGCAGACCCGACACACTTTAACATCACACCTCAGTTGCATATACAATACAAGGCACTTTAGCACACGCCTCGAGACAGACAGGTGCAAACAAACACACACACACACACACACACACACACACATACCGTATATCACATAGGCGCACACGCGCACGTACATACGCACATGTACAACACACACTAACACACACGCAAACAAGCACAGATAGATACAAAGACCGTAATAAAGACACAACCGTCATGAATAAAATTCAGAAATGCAGAAATGATTGCTGGCCTATCCCACCTTCCCCTCCCTACAACCCTCCCTCCCTCCTTCCCTCATCTCCATCCCACTCCCTCCTCATCTCCCTTCGCAGCTCATGCGCCCTGCACAAAGCAAAATCAGGGAAGTCAACACACACACGCCCTGCACAAAGCAAAACCAGAGAAGTCAACACACACACGCCCTGCACAAAGCAAAATCAGAGAAGTCAACACACACGCGCCCTGCACAAAGCAAAATCAGAGAAGTTAGCACACACGCGCCCTGCACAAAGCAAAAACAGAGACGTCAACACGCGCCCTGCACAAGCAAAAACCGAGAAGTCAACTCTCACACGCGCCCTCTCACGCTCGCTCACGCGCTCTCTCACACGGACTCTCACACGCTCTCTCACACGAACTCTCATGTGCTCTCTGACACTCCCTGACGTGCTCTCTCATGTGCACACTCAAGCGCTCTCACTCGCTCACTCCCGCGCTCTCTCACGCGCTCTCTCACGCGCTCTCTCATGCGCTCTCTCACGCGCGCTTTTACGCGCACTCTCACGCGCTCTCTCACGCGCGTTCTCACGCGCTCTCTCCTGCGCTCTTTGACGCACTCGCGCACACGCTCTCTCACGCTCTCTAACGCACTCTCACGCGCTCCCTCACGCGCACTCCTTCGCACATTCTCTCTCTCTCTCTCTCTCTCTCTCTCTCTCTCTCTCTCTCTCTCTCTCTCTCTCTCTCTCTCTCTCTCTCTCATGCGCTCTCTCGCGCGCTCTCTTGCGCGCTCTCTCACTTGCTCTCTCGCTCGCACTCTCACTCGCCCTCTCACGCGCTCTCTCACGCGCACTCTCGCGCTCTCTCACATGCTCTCTCACGCAATCTCTCATGGGCTCTCACGCATTCGGTCGCACTCCCTCTCGCGCACTCTCTTGCGCATTCTCTCTCTCACGCGCTCTCTCACGTGCTCTTTCATGCAATCTATTACGCGGTCCTTCACGCGCTCTCTCACGCGCTCTCTCACACACTCTCTCACGCACTCTCTCACGCGCTCTCTGACACGCGCAGTCTCACGTGCTCTCTCACGTACTCTCTCACGCACTCTCTCACGCACTCTCTCACGCGCACTCTCATGGGCTCTCACGCACTCCCTCACGTGCTCTCTCTCGCGCACTCTCTTGCGCATTCCCTCGGTCACGCGCTCTTTCTCGCGCACTCCCACGCGCCTCTTACGCGCACTCCCACACGCTCTCTTACGCGCTCCCTCACGCGCTCTCTCACGCGCTCTCTCACGCGCACTCTCACGCGCACTCGCTCTCTCACGCGCTCCCTCGCGCGCTCTCTCACGTGCTCTTTGATGCAATCTCTTACGCGGTCCTTCACGCGCTCTCGCACGCTCTCTCACGCACTCTCTCACGCACTCTCTCACGCGCTCTCTGACACGTGCTCTCTCACGCGCTCTCTCACGCTCTCTCTCTCGCGCACTCTCTTGCGCATTCCCTCGGTCACACGCTTTTTCTCGCGCACTCCCACGCGCCTCTTACGCGCACTCCCACGCGCTCTCTTACGCGCTCCCTCACGCGCTCTCGCATGCGCTCTCTCACGCGCTCTCTCACGCGCACTCTCACGCGCACTCGCTCTCTCACGTGCTCCCTCACGCGCTCTCTCACGTGCTCTTTGATGCAATCTCTTACGCGGTCCTTCACGCGCTCTCTCACGCTCTCTCACGCACTCTCTCACACACTCTCTCACGCGCTCTCTGACACGTGCTCTCTCACGCGCTCTCTCACGCGTTCTCTCACGCGCACTCTCACGCGCACTCGCTCTCTCACGCGCTCTCTCACGCACTCTCTCACGCACTCACTCGCTCTCTGACACGTGCTCTCTCACTGCGTTCAGTTCAGTGTTGTTCGCAGAGCACAAGAGGGTGGTCAGAGTGTTAAGGATGGATAAACAGGAACAAGCTTGGGCCGGTTGGATGAATGAATTAAATAATAAGTACCGTATTCTTACAACGTGCTGATCTAACTGCAGAGGCGCCTGAAGAATATTCAACCAAGAATGCCAAATTGTCAGAAGCGCATTTCAGTCTTCCAGAAGCTGCTGTGAAGGAACTTGTTTGAAGACGTCTCAAACAGTCATGGCTGTGTTAGGCCCTAACTCCCATCAGCAGTGCATTGTTCAACCACAGCAACTGCCATGGCAGCCACCCGCCCATTCAGCCTTCCTGAAGCTGGTGAAACGGAATAAAACAGTCATGGCTGTGTTAGGCCACAACTCCCATCAGCAGTGCATTGTTCAACCGCAGCAACAGCCATGGCAGCCACCCGCGCACTGAGTCTTCCCGAAGTCCGCTGGAGCTTGCAGCCGTGTCGTCTCAACGGAGAGCTGTTGCACAGAGAGAGTTTGCTGACACATGGTGAGATCTTGCTGGCACATGGAGAAATCTTCTCAGCAGCACACGGAGAGAGCTTCCCAGCAGCAGATGCGCCATGGAGACGCCACTGCTTCTGCCGAAGCACGTCGGATGCAAGCTTGCGGCACGACTTGACCGTGCTGCACGTGGTTCTGTACGTGGTCTTGATCGTGAGCGTTGCAAGCGGGAACTTGAAGGCAGAGGAGGGGGAATCATCATCAGCAGGAGGCAAGGGACCCTTAGTGGATGCAGCAGCAGCAGCAGCAGCAGCAGTTGTGCTGGAAAATGAAGGTGCAGTTGTGGTAGCAAATGAAGTCGCAGGTTGGATGGCAAATGCAGGGGGAAGTTGGACAGCAGAAGCAGCCTTGGGAATGCTTCTGGGAGAACCTGAGCCGGAGAATGAAGATGGAAACAACGAGGCGCCGCACACCCAAGGGTCATTCAGAACGTCATCTATGTACGGTCGGATCTGCGGGTCGGTTGCGAGCATCGAACGGATGAGATTCTTCGCTCGGCTCGAGATGATCCACCAGCAGGGAGAGTCCCAGTCCTTGCTCTCGTCAAACGCGCGGCGACCGTTCGCGAAAGTCGGCCATTGTCCCGAAAGCATCGCGTACAGGGTAACACCGAGGCTCCAAATGTCTGCAGCGAAATCGTATGATTTTCCCGCCAAAACCTCGGGAGCCTCGTAAGGGGAGCTCCCTGCATAGCCGTCGATCTTCTCCCCCGGCGCAAGCACCTTCGCGATTCCGAAATCCGCGAGTTTCGTGGCGAATTCGCAACCTCTGAAGTCGCACGCACCCATGAAGTCGCTTATTAGGGTTGATCTTGGAGACCTACTGTGTGAACCGCTTTCAGATGACATTCGCCGAAGGAGAGAAGTTTTGGCGGGAAACAAAAGAATGTTGTCGGGTTTGACGTCACGATGAATAACCCCGTTATAGTGGCACTGCTTTAAAGCCATGGCGATTCCTTTGAACAGCTCACGCGCCTCGGACTCCGGAATCCGTCCCTTCTGCTCTATCCGCGTTAGAAGGTCCCCGCCGGTAGCGAGCTCCATTACAAGCACCATCCCCCTCCCACCCTCTCCGATATAAGCATCCTCGAGAGTAACGATATTTTCATACCCTTTCAGGAGCGAAAGAGCCGTTACTTCCCGTTGCGCCGCGTCAACCGCTTCCTTTCGCGCCTCTACCACCTTGCAGGCGAGTCGCCTGCCGGAAACGCGCTCCGCGCACTCCGCAACGACGCCGTACCGCCCCTTTCCCAGATCACCCCTGATTTCGTACTTTTCCGCGAAGGCGCTCAGGGAGTTGCGCTGCGCCATGGATGAAATGTATTACACTGTTAACTGAAAACGGGGACGTATCTTGCATGTATTTAGTACCGAGTGATCGTATCTCCAAAGACCTATGTGAAGGGGGAGATCGACGACTGCGGGGATCGAGTACTGCGGCGAATGCGGAGAAAGCGCTCCGACTGTAGGAACGTCTGAGCGAACGCAGTGGAAGACGTGAAGGTTTGATCATCCGCAGTGCTCTTAAAGAATGACGTAAAGATTTGATCCGACTGACGATGAAAGCTCGACAAGACGCCATGCTAAGTAAGTACTACTACGCGATATTCCAGCGAAGGGAGTCGCGTCGCGTCGCGGCACGCTACGACCAATCAGACGAAACCAGGAGTTTCCTGGGTGCTGCTGGTGGATGGATGAAGTGAAGCCCTCATGCGCTCCTCATGTGACACTCCTCGTAACTGCACCTCATACTGCTCCACCAATCAGGCGCAACGAGGAGTTTCCTGGGTGCTGCTGCTGCTGCTGGTACCTCGATAGTGCCGGCTCACGCGCCACGCGCGGGTTACACGAAGGACAACTAACGGTCGAGTCACCCGAAGGACAACTAAGGACAGCTAAGGTTGACGATCGACGATCAAAGGTTGGTTTGCCATGGCTGCAGTGGGGTGGGGGGTTGGGTGGAGCGACGGGTAGAGTGGGAGGGTAGGAGGGCGCAGGGGAACAACGCGGCTCGATTTGACGCGCTTTTGCGATGAGCAGTTAGTTGATTGACTGTACTCCCCGGGTAACCCTGTTTGTCGTGACTAGGTCTGAAATGTTTCGCCTGGGTTTGTGGTGGGACGACGCTTGCTCCCCTTTCCCCCACTCCCACCCTCCCCTGGTAGCCCTGTCTGTCGTGATTGGGTCTGAGAAATTCATTTGCCTGGAATTGGTGGAAGGTGCCGCTCTCCCCAACCCCCCGCCCCCGCTCATTCCCCGCTTCTGCACTTCTCGTGCCACCCTTTCCCCTTCCGCCTGGCCAACTGGAACGACAGGGGCTTTCGGGGGCTGCTGGGAAGGAGGCGCGAGGCAGGAAGCGCGTTGGATAACAGGCAGTGGCTAGTGGGCCCGGTTTGCGCGTGAGCGAACATCGCACGAGTTACTCAGTAGGTGCTCCATTCGCATGAAGACGTTTGTTTGTAGCGACAACACCTACGACGTCTGGTCAAATTTCACGAAATTTGAAAACTGAAATCTCACGACGAGGTCAGCGCAGACTGTCAGTGTCGTTCCACACGCGCCCTCCCGCAAATGGAAGGAGCATCACTGCATCACTGCTAGGAAGGAGGCGTGGGGGAGCAAGCGCGTTGGGCAACAGTCCAGCAGCGAGCGGGCCTAGTTTGCGCGTGGGCGAAAATCGTACGAGTTACTAAGAAGGTGTTCGCATTTCAGAGTCTGGATGTAGTGGCGACAAAAACTGCCAAGTTCATTGTTACCACCAATTCGTGATGTCGAGTCCAGTAAAATTTCACGGGAATTTTATGACTTCACGAAGAGGTCAGCGCAGACTGTCAGCTTCGTTCCCACAAACAATAATACTGTACGAGCATCACCACTGTCACCTAAAATGATTTTGTAAGTACGTTATACACTCCAAGGTGTTTGGTGTATTTTCTGTGATTCTCCCCTTTCCTCTGCTACTGGCTCTTCTGTATGCTATCAGAGAGGCAGAAAAGGCTACGAGCCAGGCCATCAGGACACCACTCAAAACACTGAGCTTTCATGCACCCATACAAACAGAGAAATGCTTCAGCTATGGTAAGCCCCTCTGCTCTGCTGCTGCCATTTCTTTTAACCAGCAGCCCAACAACTACTAGAGGCAACAGCTACGAGGCACGCTGTCACTACGGCTGGCAGGACATATGAGTCATACACCCCATATGCACAGCGTTTACAACACCCCTATTTGAATGCTTTAGCTACGGTACATCCCTCTGCTGCTGCCTTTTCTGTAGATCAGCAGTGCCACAACAACCAGCGATGCTACAGCCACCAGCCAGGCCATCACTAGGGCCGTCACACAACCGCCCGGCACGAGACCAATGAGCATCTGCCACGTGGCATGGGTTGAAGGGGCGAGTGAGTGAATGAATCATTGATAGAGTGAGGGAGCGGGTGGGCGGTGACAAGTTTCAGCCAAGTCATGTGGCTCAAAACAAGACTAGAACTTTCAAGGCACATAAAACGATGAGCAAAGAGGGCCAAATAGGAGCAAGGAAACTCCCGAATACTGCTGCTGCTGCTGCATGAATCCCAGGAGCCTTCATCTCTTGAGAGGGAAAAAAACTTATAGGCGACTCAACACGCACGGCAAAGAGGAGAAGCAGGTTCAAGGAAACTCACACACACTGCTGCGGCTGCATGAATCGCAGGAGCCGTCATCTCTTGAGGGGTGGAGGGAAAGGAGAAGCGCCATTCTGACACCTGCCCAGCCTGCCCGACCTGCCCTAACTGCCCAAACTGCCCCTCATCTGCTGCTGGTATGCCCCCTGCTGCTGTCTCTGTACCCCTTAGAGGCTGCCTCTCTTGCACTGCCTCTGCTGCTCCGCTCGACTGTATTCCTGGAGGGAGCTCTGTCCCCTTTATAAGCTGCACCTTGTGTGCGTCATAAGCCAGCACCATTCCCAGGGAGTGTATTATGAGGAACGCTGCAGAGGCTATGGCTGGAAAAGAAACGGATGCAGAAAGCAGAGGGAGAGAGGATGGTTCGTCACTTTAAGGAGCTCTTTTTAGGGAGGATGTGGAAGAGGGAGAAAGGAAATGGGAGTGGAGAAATAACAAGCACCACCCCCGGGGTGTGTATTATGAAGAATGCTGCTTGGGTTGGGCCTATGAATTTTGAGGTGCCTCAAAAGTTGTATACACCACCAGCACCATTTTCAGGGTGTGTATCGTGAGGACTGCTGCAGAGCCTATGGCTAAAAACGGGGGGATGAGGCGGAGAGAAGGGAGGGAGAACAAGAGTGTGGAGGAGGAGCAGGAGTAGAGAGAGTTCCCTGCCCAGTCCCCACCCTCCCCTCCCCCACATGCACCTGCTAGGAGCACGAGGGGCCGCTGGGGGCAGCGCCAGGAATAGAAGGCTGGCAGGCCCGGCGCTGGCACTGACACTCTAGGTTCACTGGCGCTGACACTCTAGGTTCACTGGCGCTGACACTCTAGGTTCACTGGCGCTGACACTCTAGGTTCACTGGCGCTGACACTCTAGGTTCACTGGCGCTGACACTCTAGGTTCACTGGCGCTGACACTCTAGGTTCACTGGCGCTGACACTCTAGGTTCACTGGCGCTGACACTCTAGGTTCACTGGCGCTGACACTCTAGGTTCACTGGCGCTGACACTCTAGGTTCACTGGCGCTGACACTCTAGGTTCACTGGCGCTGACACTCTAGGTTCACTGGCGCTGACACTCTAGGTTCACTGGCGCTGACACTCTAGGTTCACTGGCGCTGACACTCTAGGTTCACTGGCGCTGACACTCTAGGTTCACTGGCGCTGACACTCTAGGTTCACTGGCGCTGACACTCTAGGTTCACTGGCGCTGACACTCTAGGTTCACTGGCGCTGACACTCTAGGTTCACTGGCGCTGACACTCTAGGTTCACTGGCGCTGACACTCTAGGTTCACTGGCGCTGACACTCTAGGTTCACTGGCGCTGACACTCTAGGTTCACTGGCGCTGACACTCTAGGTTCACTGGCGCTGACACTCTAGGTTCACTGGCGCTGACACTCTAGGTTCACTGGCGCTGACACTCTAGGTTCACTGGCGCTGACACTCTAGGTTCACTGGCGCTGACACTCTAGGTTCACTGGCGCTGACACTCTAGGTTCACTGGCGCTGACACTCTAGGTTCACTGGCGCTGACACTCTAGGTTCACTGGCGCTGACACTCTAGGTTCACTGGCGCTGACACTCTAGGTTCACTGGCGCTGACACTCTAGGTTCACTGGCGCTGACACTCTAGGTTCACTGGCTCTGACACTCTAGGTTCACTGGCGCGTGAGGAGGCTTCCTTTCCCCGACCCAGTCTAGAGGCGCCTAGAGTGTCCCTAAAACTGGAACCTAGAGTGTCCCTTCCCAGATCCAACCTCCAGGGAACCTAGAGTGTCAGGAGCACACACTGACTGCAATGAAATACCTGCTAGGAGAACAAGGGGCAGTTGAGGGCAGCGCCAGGAGTAGAAGGTCGCGGGGCCGATGGCGGGTGAGGAGACTCCTCCCTCCCCACATCCCACTTTTCCCACCCTTGTGCATTCTGGTCGTACCTACTGAGTGGAAAATACCTGCGAGCAGCACGAGGGGCAGTTGAGGGCAGCGCCAAGAGGAGAAGGTCGCGGGGCCGATGGCGGGTGAGGAGATACCCCCTTCCCCACATCCCCCCTTCCCCACATCTAATACTAACTAAGTAGGTCGTACCTGCAAGCAGCACAAGGGGCAGTTGAGGGCAGCGCCACGAGTAGAAGGTTGCTGGGCCGATGGCGGGTGAGGAGACGCTGAGGAAGAGGAAGAGCGAGTGGGCGATCCCATGGCCCAGACCGGAAGCTGTAGTTTAGAGGATTGGGGGACGGAGGGTTGGGGGGGAGGAGGGGAGAGGGGGGGGTTGTGCAGGGATGAGGAAAGGCAAGGCGGGGTAGTGTGAGGAAGGTGGCAGGAGCCTAAGGTGCGATGGCGGGTGAAGAGACGCTTTTGAGTCGACTCAAAAATCGCCTCATCACACGCGGAAAGGCAAGGCGGGGTAGTGTGAGGAAGGTGGCAGGAGCCTAAGGTGCGACTTTTGAGGCGCCTCAAAAGGTGGCAGGGGCCTAAGGTGCGATGGCGGGTGAAGAGACGCTGAGGAAGAGGAAGAGGGAAGGATTGAGCGATCCCATGGCCCAGCTGTAGAATAACGGAAGGGTAGGGGGGCAGAGGGTGGTTTGCTGCAAGGATGAGTGTAGACAAGGTGGGGATACTGCTGAGGAAGAGGAGGAGGGGGTGAGTGATCTCATGCCTAG